CTCATTTTCATAGACAGTAGTCACATGGGGTACATTCCAGGACCCCCAATGAATGTCTGAAACCACAGAGAGTACCAAACCCTATATATACCATGTTTTTTCCTATACATACATATCTGTGAGAAAGTCCAACTTATGAATTGGACACGGTAAGAGATAACCAATAATAAAATAGAATAATTATAAAAATGAACTGTAATAGAAATTATGTGAATGTGGTCGCTCTCAAGATATCTGACTGTATGTACTTCCCCTTCTTGTGATGATGCGAGATGATAAGATAGACGAGGCTTGTGGATAACGTAGGCATCGTGACGTCATCCTGGGCTCCTATTGACCTTCTGCGGTTATATGAGAAGGCTCACCTTCCAGATCACAGCTGACTGTGGGGACTAAAACTTCAGAAAGTGCAACTGTAGAAGAGGGCTAGAGGGAACTAATGCAATCTGAATATTAAGGTGAATCTAGCAGTGAAGAAATCTGCTGTTTACGTGGGAATGTTTCCGATGGCATTCAGTAACGCCTGTAAAAGCTTTTTGTAAATTATTAAGTGACACGAGACTTAATTTATAGCTAAATAGCTCAAACTATTACTGGCTTTAGACTCAATATTGGAGGGGGGGGCGTTTCTCCCCTGTTTCTTGCACCTCTGACTGTTTTTGGTTTGGTTTTTTGCTTCCATTTGAATTGGAAATGGTCCAAAAGCTGATTTTTTCCCCTTCTATTCACCAAGCAGGAGGAGTCACACCCAAATGTTGTCAGGAAGTGACAAGTTTTGGATGATGTTTTTCTCGAATTCCCAGTTCTGCCTCTGATCCTTTCCCCTTTCCTCCCAATAGCCATGTCCCTTTCCACTTGCTTGCTCTCACCTACCCTCCCCTCCCTCTCCAAATGTCACGCATAGCGCTTCTCCGTAAGTATCTTGACATGCCCTTCAGGTCTGCAGATGGTGAGAAGCACACAGACCAGAGGTGCCGTGCCCACAGAGACAAGCCGGCCCCAAATAACATGGCATTGTTATTGCCAAATATATCAGATAGCCCAATCTTATCATCCCCGGTGGGATATACAAATCACGGCCATTTGTTCATACCTGGGCACTCTGCAGTTGGTAACTTGCTTTCTGATTTGTCGTAGTCCGTTTAAGCTCTGACAAAATACCACAACCTGGGTAGTTAAGAAAAAAAAAAAAAAAGGTTAACACTCACTGAATCCTTCTAAGAGGCCGGGCACTCCACTAAGCAATTTACATGCATTTTCTCACTTAAGCCTCGCAACAACCCATGAGATAGTTACCATTATGATCCTTAGTTCACACACACCAATAAAAAGGTTTTAAGGAACTTGCCCAAGGTCATGCAAGTAAGTAGCAGAGCTGGGATTTGGTTCTAAGTCTGTCTGACCCCAAAGGTCAAATTATTAACTGTTACCCTCCTCAACCTTTTAAGTTTTCTTAAATGAGTGCGAAATTAAAATGATCTAGAGTCTATTTTTTTTATTTTTTCAAAAAGAAAGTTGTATTCGTTGATGGTGTGATGAGGCTTCCATTTGACCACTGCCTAGTACCAGATACACCACTTTTATATAAGAAAGTGGCATTTTGGAGAAACCATGGAGGGCCCACTTGACAGGATGATGGGCGGAGCTCTAAATTCATGCGGGACCTGCCTCCTTTGAGTGGGCTGCAACTCACATCATTGCTGAGCATTTCTCCCTGAACAGCTCATTCAAAGTGGAGTTGACCAGGACCTACTTCTTATCTTCTTTATACCTCCTGCTTCTATCATTAAAAAAAAGTGTGGTCAACTCCTGTAAAGGATCTCTTGAATTTAATGTATTCTAAAAACTTTCAAGGACAAGATGCATACTTTTGGGGTACAGAAAGGATCTGTGTTACAAAGTGTTACAAATATACACATTATATAAATTCACCAACAAGAAGCAGACGTGTAAGGGAGAGTCCTCTAGAGAAGTACTTTCCTTTTCGAAAGTCCTCACGTATTACCATGCTCTGCGGGTTGGGGCTGGGCTAATGGTGAGAAGTATCCGGCTTCTGGTGATGTATTTAAAATCTGGAGGAAGGGGCGCCTGGGTGGCTCAGTTGGTTAAGCGACTGCCTTCAGCTCAGGTCATGATCCTGGAGTCCCGGGATTGAGTCCCACATCGGGCTCCCTGCTTGGCAGGGAGTCTGCTTTTCCCTCTGGCCTCTCCTCTCTCATGCTGTCTCTCTCCCTCTCTCTCAAATAAGTAAATAAGTAAATAAAATCTTTAAAATCTGGAGGAAGGAGCTATGGGAAAAAAGAGCTACAGCCTCTTTGAGATAATGGCTTGGTACCTTCGATGAGATGTCCACTCTCTTCCTTGAAGGGAACATCATCTCTGGTCAACTAGAACAAAAAAATGAAAACAAAACCAGCTACTTTTTCAATTTCTTTAAAAAAAAAAAAAAAGGTTGGTTAGTTTCTGGGTCAATACCAGTGTAGGAAGAACTTCTAGGGCTATAATCTCTACTTTATAAACTTTAGCACATCAAGTTCTATGCCAATAAAAGGTGAACTTAAAAAAAAAACCTTTCATTAGTTTAGAACAAAAGGAGTATTAGGAGTGATCGACTTAGTATAACGTGGGGGCGAAGAAGGTCCGCTCTGGGTTGTGACGCCTGGATCGGATCTTCATTGTATCACTTACTTATTGTGTGATCTTGGGTGAGTTCCTTACAGTCTCTGGGTCCAGGTCTTCACCTTTATGAGTCAGTTGTGGGGATGAAACGAGATGATGCCTATAAAGTACTCAGCACAGGGCTGGGCCGTCAAAACCCAATAAACAGAAGCTGTTGAACCCTCATCATCTACAGGAACGTGTAGGAGGCAGTCTGAATTTTTGTCAATGAACTTAGATTATAAAGATCCTCTCTCTCTATATATAAACTATATACAGCTCTCTCTCCCTCTAATCATAGTTAGCTAGTCAATGCATTTCTCTTGAGCACATTTTGTTGACACTCTCCGCCTATCTTGAAGTCAGAAACCAGGCCCCTAGGCAGGGCCCCTCACACACAGCTCCCTCCTCTGCCTCCCCAGCAGCCGGCCAGCTTTCCAGTTCCATCAACTACCTTCGGGGCAGTGACATAATTCTTGTTAGCTGCCTTCCATTAGGAGGATGACTGGGTAACAGGCACACGTGATAGATTTCTGCTGACCTGGAGTTTTTCTTTCAGTTGTGAATGACACGGAAATGGCAGTCAGCAGGGACTGAGCTCTGTCAAGTGATTTCCACCAGCCCCTGTCTCGTCTCGACTACTTTGCCTGCTGTCCTACGTTACGCATCGCAGAGCCTTTGTAGTTTGAAGACAGGATAAGCCAGGAACTGGGGTAGCTTTCTCTGCAACTGAGTGTGACATCTGTGGTTCAAGAGTAATTCTGGTACACATGTGCCATCATGCTAATGTTAATATAAGCATGCTGATGATAACGGGTGGCCCTCTGGCCCACTTTGCCCTCCCCTTCTCCTCCCTCCCACTCTCTTCCTCCTCATCCCATTCCTACTTTTTCTTCTTTTTTTTTTTTAACCCACTTAATCCTCACAAACATATGAGGAGACACTATTACTATTCCCTTTATAGAGGCATGAAAGCCAGACGAGACCACTAAGGAACTTGTCTAAGACCAAAAAGCTCAAAGCTTTCATCCACCTATCAATATCTCTTCATTTCTTTTAAGTTATTGACCATTTTAATACTCGTGTTTAGAGATACTTGCAATGATCAGTTTTCTCAAGTTCTCGGTGTCGGGATATTTTCCTGGAGGCGGGGAGGGAATGTTTAATGGGCTTCTTGAGTTTGGATACTCATCTTGTGGAAGGTGGGAACATCAGGTCAAGGACATTTTAGCATGCTTGTTAGGCTCCCTTAGTGCTAGAAGACAAGGTCATGATTTATAAGGCTAAGACAATGAATGGGGGGAGAATCAGCATGCTACTGATCGGTGCAGTTATTTCCAAGTCCAATCCACATGTGTTTCAGGAATGGTTAAAGTTCAAGGGTTAGAGACAGGAGGTGGGGAATAGAGATCACCAGACTTCACAGATCCTTTTTGGGAATAAGGAAAGAATATAAAACAAAACAAACCAAGAAAGAAAATTGCAAGGGTTCCCCCAACCCCCTTCCCTGAACACACAACAGCAAACACCATTCCTTTTTCAAGGATTCCAGGGCTCCGCCTCTCCTAGAGTCCTGGGGACAGTTCTCTTCTGGATAACTTTTACTTGGAACAGAGCCTGTTGTCAACAGGAAAGGCTCTGTTTGGGATAAACCTTCATGGAGGTCAGTCGACTGAACTTTGAGTATCAGGTCATGCTGTGAGGGACACAGGGGGTGGAAAAGAATATTCTCCGCCATGGAAAAATGAGACAAGGACAGAGAGGAGGCCTGTCCCGAGGTCTTTGGTGGTCAAGGGACTTGTGTCCACTCCCGGGAAACTGATTTCTGAGTGTTGGGTGGGAGGGCCATGCTTCCGAAAAGTGCGTATGGTCTGTGCTCCCCTCCAGGGCTGTCTGCAGCTCGCCTGGGGAGGGAGGCCTTGTGTGTGAAGACGCTGGGAGAAGAGAATGGGGGACAAGGACGATATCGTGCCCTGACGGGGTGACGGAAACGACAATGCGCTCCTTGCGCAAAGGCTACCCGCAAGGAGAGCGGATAAAACAGCGAGACCACGGGCCCTCGTGGAGGGGGAAGACCGAGGGCTCAGCTCCAGCTTCACGAAGCGCATTGCAGGAAGCACCCTGAAGGCTGGGCAGAGTTGGCCGGGGCCTCCCGGGGTTAATGCGGAGTCTATGATGCCCGCAGCGTCCCGGCACGTACGTGAAGGCGTCCACGTCCACCGCGGCGAACACGCCCCACGGCAGTCAAGTCCTGATCGCCAGGAGTCCACAGGGCGCGGGGAGGGGAGAGGCTGGGGACGCGGGGTCGGAGTGGGCGGGTGAATCCCCCCGCCCAAGCCTCAGGGTGTCGGGGAGGAGGGCGCTCCAGACACGCCCCCTGTCCCCAGCAGCCCCCACTCTGCCCGGCGCTGTCCTAGAAGGCCAGACATTGGCCCGTGGCCACCTGCCAAGTGGGGCCGGGAGCCGGGACCGGGGGAAAGGGCCTCGGCGGCGGCCCGAGGGCCCTCAGAGCCTGCCGCCGCGGCCACTCCCTTAGACTCTGGCCGTGCGGGGACCGGGGGCGCTCTGCCTCCGCCTTATAAGAAGCCCGGCGCGGGGCCCGCGGCGGGGCCGGAGGCGGGCACGGGGCTCGGGCCGCGCAGGGGCGCCCCCACCAGCGGCGGCGCGGCGACATGGGCCGCTACTCGGGCAAGACGTGCCGGCTGCTCTTCATGCTGGTGCTCACCGTCGCCTTCTTCGTGGCCGAGCTGGTCTCGGGCTACGTAGGCAACTCCATCGCGCTGCTGTCCGACTCCTTCAACATGCTGTCCGACCTGATCTCGCTGTGCGTGGGGCTGGGCGCCGGCTACGTGGCGCGGCGACCCCGCGGGGGCCTGGGGGCCACCTACGGCTACGCGCGCGCCGAGGTGCTGGGCGCGCTGAGCAACGCCGTCTTCCTCACGGCGCTCTGCTTCACCATCGCCGTGGAGGCCGTGCTGCGCCTGGCGCGGCCCGAGCGCATCGACGACCCCGGGCTGGTGCTCGTCGTGGGCGCGCTGGGGCTGGCCGTCAACGTGCTGGGGCTGCTCATCTTCCAGGACTGCGCCGCCTGGCTCGCCTGCTGGGGCCCCCGCCGCCGCCCGCCGCCGCCGCCGCGCGAGCAGCCCCAGCCGCCGGCCCGGGGCCGCGCCCCGAGCGCCATCGGGGGCCCCCGCCGGCCCTCGGCCGCCGCCCGCGGCGTGGCGGCCGCTGCAAGGCAGGACGAGCAGGGGGCGACGGTGTTCTCCAACGTAGCAGGTGCCTTTCGGTTGCATCCTCCGGACCTCGCTCTGCCTTTCCCTCCTCCCGCCCGTCCCTTCCTCCTCATCCACGCCCTCTTTTTCTTCCGGGCTGTGGCTGCTGTGGCTGCTTCTATTTTGTTTAAAAAAAAAAAAAGAAAGAAAAAAAAAATCCATGTCCTCTGTAGCTCGGCTTTAATTATCTGCTCCTCATTTATTGTATTCCCCACAGTGTCTCTGTTTTTTTCCTGGATCTTCAGGCCTCCCCCACCTCTTCCCTTCCCCTTATTCTCTCTGTTTCAGAGCCTTGATTTTCTTAAATATAGTTATTATTGGGCAACAGATCATGAGATACGGTCTGAACTTTGTTTTCTCCTTTCCGCCTCGCCCACCCTTCTATCCTCCGGGGAGTTATGGGTTTGGAGATGGGGGTGGGATTCCACTTGCCTCTGTTTTTTGTTTTTTAAACTTAAATGGAAGTGTGAATGAAATCCAGAGGTGGGTCACAAGGCTTATGTCAAGGCCAAAATGTACTATTCTGGGTTGTGTGTGTGGAGAGGTAGGGGGTTCTGATGAGCTAGTAGGAGTTTAAGATAACAAAACCTTTTTTTGAGTTCATTGGTTCTTTTTGTTTGTAGAACTTATACACAACACAAGGTTTCTTCTTTGAATGCAGGTGATTCTCTGAACACCCAGAATGAACCAGAAGAGACTATGAAAACGGAGAAAAAGTCTGAAGCCCTGAATATCAGAGGTAGGATTGACTTCAGGTGGATTTGAAACCCTTGTTTGTAATGCATATGGGCTGTGCTGTACTCTGCATTTCTGTTTGCCTTTTAATAAGGTGTGTTAGAAAGTAGGCCAGTTGCACTAATAGACTATGACCCTAGTCTCTTGCCTAATGGCTGCATTGATTTGGAGAGACACTCTAGCTGCTAATGATTTATCCTTGCTCCGCTTAGAGCCAGGCTCATGCTGCCTGCTCCAGACACTCACAGATCAGGAGTAACATGTTATTACTTTACTCAGTTTTCCCCACTCGTGGGTATGAGGGTATGAGGTCTAATGCAAATGAGGTCTATTTTAATTGAATGTAATTTTGATGAAGGTGAGAAGAGAGTTGCTGGCGGCTGTCCATCGTGGCACTGCTGATTGACCCTCACGCTTCACTTATTTCTGCCAGGACTCTGCAGCTGGGGTGGGTCTCTTGGCTCTCTTGAATCTCTACTTCCGGGCCCAAAGCGGAGGGTTCTGGTGAGGCATGTGGAAGGCACGTTACTAGTATTTTCCCTGCCGTGTGCTCAAGGTCACAAGCACTGGGCAAATGTTAGTCCAGGGAGTTCAGAGGTGAATTTCTCACCAGATACCAACATTGTATCCAGCACCTCTGTCTTCCAACTTCTTGGGCAGAGACTTTGCTTCCGAGTGATTCCAGAAGGGTCAGTCCACCATCTCAACTTGGAGGATTTCAACAAAGATTATTTAACCCTTTACTTTCAGATGATTTGGGGGAAGCCTGTGATAGGGCTTAAATGGAAATAATATAAATAAAAAGTAATCATCTGGGAGACATTTTCATTTTTGAGAGTCTCCCGTCTGTTTTACAAAGTGATACCTGGTATGCATCTACAGGGAAAGTCAGAAGAAAAAAAAACAACAATGACAACAACCATGCATGAGCTCCTAAAAATTTCTATGTGAGTCACTTTTTAAAATTGAACTGCAGTAGGAGAATTTCTGAAGTGCTAGCTGGCGAATCTTTTTTGAAAAGAGAGAATCTGTATTGAAAAACCATTATCCTTTGTCTTTCTTTGGGTTCAGTTAAAAAAAAAGTATATATAATATATACTATACACATTTTGATATCAAATACATACTACATATTATATATATCACAGATTTTTCCACAGTACTTTAATTTTTCAAGGCACATTCTGTTATTCATTCTCATGCTGCAGAGAAGGAGAACGGGTAAGCGAAAAGGTGCTAAGAGGATTTAATAGTGGGACCAATAGATAGTGTGACCTTGTTCGGGAAGCATGATATATGAACCTGCAGCATGATCATGAAACTTGTACGATCTGGCCGATCTTTAGTCTAAAGTCGGAGCTCCTAGGTGGAACAATGCCAGGGTAAAGCCTTGCTGTACCTGGCTCAGCCCTGAGCTCCGCTGACCAGTGTGTTCTGTAGCTTCCGACAGAGGTGAATAATGCAGCAGCTAAAAGATTGGGATTTGTGCTCAAGATGTCTGGGTTTGAGGTCTTGGCTCTACCACTTAAGCCTCTGACTTTGGGCAAGTTTTTGGACTTCTCTAAGCCTCCAATTCCCTCATCTTTTAAATAGTATCTACTTGAGGGGGTGGCTGTTAGATGAAGCATGTCAAGTTCTTGGGCAATGCAGAGGGAAAATGTGCTTTTGTGCCAGGCACCGTGCGGGCACAAGTCACTTGCATTTGTAAGAATCTCACCAGGTGGGAGCTGTTGTCTCTCAGGTAGTGAGTGGAATTGCTGGGCTCAGCCCTACTGTGTAAGTGGGGGTGAGTGCTCCGGGCCCTGCTGTGGCTCCCAGGAGTCTCTCCATCTTTCAGGCCAAATGGGAGGCTGGCCTCCCCTTAGATCTTGTGTCCTCATCTTGGATCCATGATTCAGAGAAGGTGCACACAATGTTACAGCAGAAAAGGACTTAGTGGGAATGAACTCCACGCCCCCTCGTTTTGCAGATAAGGAAGCAGGGTCCTGAGAGTCTGGTGACTTCCCAAGTCACCCAGGCAACCTCAGAAGCAGGGCTGGGCTCCTGGGCTCCTTCATATTTCCACCTCTTTCCAGTCTTGCACACTGCCGGTACACTCCATGCAGAATGGCTTACTTCTCCAGTGTAGACAGTCCACTGAGTGGTTACACTTTTGACCTTTAAGCCACTGTTTGAGAAAGCAGGACTATTCCCCCAGATCTGCAGGGGAGCAAACGACGGGCGGGGATTCTTGTGAATAAGAATCATTTCTGGATATACATTGGTGTTTCTCATTTCAGTGGAATAAAACAAATGCCTTCTGAGAAACACAGTCCATCTTCTGCAAAGCACCGTGAAAGCACAATCCTTTAAAAATTCTCACCAGTTGTGGTGGTTGATTTTATTTAATAGGATCAAATGTGATACATCCAAAAATGTTGCGACAGAGGGTCAGAAAGATAATTAACTTTTTGTATTTCAGTATAAATGTAAATAGATAGACCACAATCTAGACATCATTTGAAAATAAGTCTCCTTTGATGAGATGTTTCTAATTTTTTTTTCCAGTAAGAAAGCTCTCTCTTCCTTCCATAACCACTTGTTAATGCCCAGGGCTGGTGTACTGTATTCCTGGTTATCAGCAAAGTCAACAACACCGATGGCTTTTCCAAGGGCTGGGACACACCAAATTTCAGCTGATGTCAAATTGCCAGTTTTTCTGAGTTTTTGGAAAAAATCTCAAGACAGGAAGTGAGGTCCAACCGTTGAGGTGTCCTGTCCTCGCACTTGTACCTTGTGAGAATGATGACTAATCAGATCGTTGAGCTGTCTACCAACGGCTGATCTTCGTCTCTCAGATAACGCTGCCTGACTTACCTTTCTGAATCATAGATGTGATCCCATCAGAGCCTGCTCAGAAATCTTTCCCCTTCCGGAATAAGGTCCTAACACTGCTGGCAGTCAAGGGCTTGCTGTTCCCATGTCAGCACTCCTTTCTAGATGTTTCTGCCCTGTTCTTCACCCCTTCGCTGTCCCACCTCCTCTCCTAGACCCGAGCCATTTCTCCTGTCCCCATCCCCATCTAATGCACACGTACAGTGAGGCGAGAAGAGCTCAGCCAGGCAGATCTGGTTCAAGGTCAGCCTCTGCCTTTTACCAGCTAGGTGATCTTGGGCAAGTAACTTAACTTTTTTGAGCTTTAGTCTCCCTGCCGACGTAGTGGAGATCACCACAACATCGCTGTGGGGTTGCGAGCATTGCATGAGGGGTTGGAAGAGCGCAGAGGACACAGTCCTCAAATCATGCAAATTATCATTGTCGCAATCATTTCTATGCACTTACGTCTCAGTGGGCTTTCAGACATTGTTTCAACAGATTCTTCAGAACTAGCCTCCGAGAGAAGTGAGACAGACGCTGTTCTCATCCCCATTGTACAGAGGACGATGCTGGTGTTCAGAGAGGTTGACTTCCACAAGGTCCATGCGCACAGAGACTCTCAGGGTCTATGACTTCACACTGAATGTGCCTCTCTCGCATGCTGCCTGATGGGCACGTCCTCACCTGCGGCCTCCCTTGAGCTTCCTGCCTGGAACACTTTCTCTCTGAGCTCTCTCTGCTTGGAACCCCTCTGCCTATTGAGGTCCGTCCCCGCTTCAGAGTCCTGCCCAATTGCTTCATCTCTTGAGATGCTGTCCCTGAGATTGCCCATCACAGGGAATCACCACCCCCCCATCCTGAGGTTCCTGGTGCCCTTTTCTGAGAATCCTGCCAGTGTGGACTCTGGTCCCTGGAGGATGATGACCAGGCCTTCTTCGTCCTTACACGGGAGGCCAGAAAACACACTATAATATCCAGTCTCTGGAATTTGAAAGAATCAGGCTTTAAGAGGATTTTCAAACTGAAGGCCATGATAGGTTGACTCATAAAATCAATTTAGTAGAATATGATGAGCATTTAGAAAATTAACCAGAATTGAATGAAATAGAATAGAAAACAGTAATAAGTCATAGGTTAGGATAGGCTTTGTTTTTTCACATTTGTTTCAATGCGTGTCTCTGGGTGTGCTAGGAGGCAAAATAGGATTCTTACTGTGGATTATGGGAAGAAGAAGTTTGAAAGCTATTTTATGTAATTATGGGGGGCTGGCAGGGAGATTTCGTGGGAGGAAAACATGAAATGGGAATCTAGGCTGTCTATGAGGCAGGGTGCACAGTGGTTTTTTGTTTGTTTGTTTGTCTTTTTAAAGATTTTATTTATTTATTTGACAGACAAATCACAAGTAGGCAGAGAGAGATGCAGAGAGAGAGGAGGAAGCAGGGTCCCGGCTGAGCAGAGAGCCAGATGTGGGGCTCGATCCCAGGACCCTGGGATCACAACCTGAGCCGAAGGCAGAGGCTTTAACCCACTGAGCCACCCGGGTGCCTTGCACAGTGGTTTTCTAAGCAGACTTGTATCCCCACTCGAACCCTTTCTGGTTCTGTGATCTTGGATAAGTTATTCAGCTACTCCATGCCTCAGTTCCCTCATTTGTAAAATGGAGAGGGTAACCGCTTCAGAGAGTCTTAATATGTAAGGACATGGGACACACTTACAACAACGTCTGATGCATGTTTGTTAGCTAGCAATACAATTATTATTATTAAGTAAAAGACAGAAGACACTCTATGTCATGGGAGTTATGACCGGCCAACCAGAAAATACTGTTTCGTTGAGTGCCTGCATTGTGTGCTTCTGGTGCTAAAATATAAACACAAGAAGTGCAGAACATGACCCTCGTCCTCATGTCACTTAGCGACTAATGGAGGAAACAAGGCTATCATGCAGGAAACAGAGGATGAAAATGGTCTTAGGCGGTGAAGCTGTTGTCAAGTGCAAATAGGAAATACTTGGTTTTTGTATTTTTGTAGTCCTACCGTGTACCTCCCTGGAGAGGGTCCAAGCTTCGATCTTCAGGTTTCCCTGGAGGAACAAGGTATATAGACCAGCTCTTGGGAATTTCTCTTTGTGGCTCAGAACAAGGGCTGGGGAGTAAAAAGCTCTTCCAGAGGTGGGGTGTGTGAAAGGGGGCACAGAATTAGAAAATGGAATTATTTAATCTATTCATTGAATCAGGATCCTATTCTAACAACTAAACACTCTGCCAGAAGGGAAAGTGAAGATACTTTGTATTTCTGTATTATTTTGGGGTGGGAGGAAGTTTGCCACAAATTGCATTTAGTATGTTTACAGAATGCTGTTTCACCTCTGATGCTACTCAGCTATGCAGAATCCTAAAAGTATTGTCAAAAAGAAGCATTCGCCCAATTAAACCATCTTCCAAGTGAGACTGTTTGGTTGTAGCCACAAGTGAGTTATGAGGATTTGGGATTCTTATTAATTCAACCCAGTGGATCTGTGGGATCCCTGGAGAGACAAAACGAGCCTTTCTTAATCTATACGCTTTCTTCTAGAGCACTGTTCTGGGACTTTCATGTGAGTTTCGGGCCCCTGTGATCTTGTTAAAAATGCAGAATCAGATTCCATAGCCTCTGACATGGGGCCCGAGATTCTGCATCTCTCACCAGCTTCTGGGGGTTGCTGATGCGGCCAGTCCGGACACCAGCCTGACTAGCAAGAGTCTGATGTATTCTGCAGAAAAAAAAAAAGAAAGAAAAAGAAAGAAAGAAAGAAAGAAAGAAAGAAAGAAAGAAAGAAAGAAAGAAAAAAAGAAAAAAAGAAAAAACCAAAACCAAACCAAAACAAAAAAACCAAACCACGACAAAAAAACCTAGTGTTTGTATTTTTAGAATTCTTCTGACAAAGTTTTCACCTAAATCCCAGTTTAGTCTGTGTGTCGCATACAACTGGACACCCAGATCTTCTGTGTTAGGATGGCAAATTTTTTGTATCATAATCAAAACATTGAAGGTTGGTTCCCTTAATTAAAGGCAACCGTGACGTTATTATCTCTTAAATTTTAATTTAATTTTATTTTGACAAATGGCTCTTTATTCAGCGGCAGTGTTGCTGGAGACCCTTCTTTTTTTTTTTTTTTAATTGACTCCCTTTTTTTGGTTAAGACTTTATTTATTTGACAGAGAGCACAAGGAAGCAGAGCAGCAGGCAGAGGGAGAGGGAGAAGCAGACTCTCTGCTGAGCAGGGAGCCTGATGTGGGGCTTGATCCGAGGATGCTAGGATCATGACCTGAGCTGAAGGCAGATGCTTAACTGACTAAGCCACCCAGGCACCCCTGGAGACCCTTCTTAAGGACCTTTCAAACCAGATCCAGTTTAAATGACTGAGGCTAAGTGAGGAAAAGGCAAAGGCATGTAGGAAAGGGGGGGAATGGATCAAGGAAGAGGGAAGACAAGGAATAACAAGAACCACTCTCTATCATTTTTTTTTTTTAAGATTGTGTTTATTTATTTGACAGAGAGAGAGTAAGCAGAAGCAGGGGGAACAGCAGACAGAGGGAGAGGGAGAAGCAGGCACCCCGCTGAGCAGGGAGCCCGATGTGGGGCTCAATCCCAGGACTCTGGGATCATGACCTGAGCCAAAGTCAAATGCTTAATGGACTGAGCCATCCGGATGCCCCAAGAACCTCTCTTTTGATAAGTCTTAATTCCTTCTCCTCTTCAAAATGTTTAAAACCATTTAAATCACAGACACATGTCTGAAAGAATAAGAAACCATTTGCACAACCTCTGTTTACCAGTTCTGTGCCTTCTGACAAGTGGTAGGCAGCCGTGGTGAGACAGGTGAGCTGTGAACAGACAGTCCCTTTCCCCACTGGGGTCTGCAGCTCAGAATCTTCCTAGGCTATTATGGGTTCTCTGGGTCCTGGGATGCTGGCCTAGGGTTTTGTTTTCTGCAAAGTAGCTGACTTTTTTTTTTTTTTTTTTTTTGTCCGTTTGAATCCATCCTGCTCTTCTAACCAAAAAGAAAACAAGTAGCAACTGGTCTTCTTAGACTTGGCAACCCCGGTCACAGAGCGTCCCATGGCTCCCAAATGTGGATCTGTGCTTGAGAGGTCTTTCTTCCTTCCCAACAGGTGTGCTTTTGCACGTGATGGGCGATGCCCTGGGGTCAGTGGTCGTGGTGGTCGCGGCCATCATATTCTACGTGCGTCCCCTGCCCCCTGAGGACCCATGTAACTGGCAGTGCTACATCGACCCCAGCCTGACTGTCTTCATGGTCATTATCATTTTGTCATCCGCCTTCCCGCTCATCAAGGAGACCGCTGCCATCCTGCTGCAGATGGTCCCCAAAGGCCTGAACATGGAAGCGCTGAGTGAGTCACGTGGTCCTTATCTAGAGCCATGCCCACCTAGTGCTCCGTGGGTCAAAGGGCTGGTGTTATTTCAGAGCAGTGTTTGATTTATGTATCTTGGAATACTGTAAATCACCTGGCCGTAGAAACATCTATCATATGTTTGGTAGCCGAGTAAGATGACTCACAGCTCCGAGAACCAAAGGTCCTTTGCAACCCATGACCCTCTGACTCGGCCGCAGATTTTTGAGAATAGAGTGTTGGGCAGAACCTGCTCCTTGGGTCCTACCTTCACGTCAGAGATTGATTTTAATTCCAGTAAGGTTACCCTGCCAAGAACTTGATTTTTATTCTCCTTATTCTGAAAACAGGAATCATTCATTTGCATTTGGGATCCTGCTTTCTAGGGAGCTGATTTTGTATGGGCATGCAAGTCGCCGTGTCTCTTGTGACACCCTGTTTAAATGTAAACATGAATTTAAAACAGGACCGTGTTTTAAATTCAGATCATTCATGGCCTCCTTTGGTAATGAAACCTCTTTGCTGGGCTCAAAGAAAAGGTCAATCTCCCACCTTAGTTATGTGCGTCTGAGCATACGTAGGTTAGAGACTTGGCCGAGTTGCTAACTGGGGACAATCCAAATGCTGGTGAGAAGTTGAATGTGCTTCTTTATTTTCTAGTGTTTCTACTGTGAGGTAAGAGCCTGGCCCACTGTGGGGCTCAAAGTTGGAAGACCTTAACTTCATGACAGATCCCCGACAGGAGGTTTGAATGGGTCTTAATCCATCGTATGGCCACGGCTAGGCCTTCCCCTGGGAGGGCGTGATTTATGGTGGTCACTGTTGGTCAGAGCCCGGCCAGCCCCGTGTTTAGGAGCACGCATTGGGACCAGCTGCTTGGGCCATTGCCAACAGCCTGTGCTTCTCCTGGTCTTTCCCCCTGGATGTTCTTTTTGCCTTTTGGTGCCTCCTCTTGGGCAGCACTGCTTTATAGTCTCAGGGCCACTTAGGTGGTCAGCTCTCCAGCTGCTTTACCGTGCTGTGTCCCAACAACCAGCCTTCATTTCCTGCAACCTGGTATCTACCCAGTCCGGCAGGCAGAGGAGGTGGGCGGTGAGGAAGGAGATACCTAGGAGCAGACACGCAACATTGTCTCTCCCTTCCAGGAACTTGTTTTCCAGTTGAAGAAACAAGATAAACATATCAAAGCAATTTGTGATAGATAATGGCTTATATTGCCTTTTAACCAAGTTATCTATATTTAAAAACATTTAAAAAATAGATGGTAAGAACAGGAGCAACCTTTCTATGGGACTATTATACTATATGCTGACAATGTTCTAAGTGCTTTACTTATATTCACTCATTTTAATTCTGCAAGTAAACCTGTGGGGTACTATTGTTATTGTTCCCGACTTACAGGTAAGGAGACTGAGGCCCTGGGAGCTAGCTAAATTACCCAAGGCCGTGTCTAAACTGGGATTCAGACTCTGGCTAGCTTACAGGGTCTTTGCTCCTAATCACTATTCCACATCATCTCTCTAAAGACGTGCTCATTTGAGAAAGTATGGAGAATATAGAAGACTTAAATAAAAAATAGAAGTCTCTCGTAATCTTGCCACCCAGAAATTACCTCTTTTAATATTTTTGAATCAGTCATTCAGTGAGACAAGCTTTTAGCAGCATAAAATTTGTGTGTGTATATATACACTGATGTTTGCTTAAAAAAAAAAGAAAAAGATTGTGCCGTATATACAGTATAACTATTTCATTTTTCACTTAAAGATATCTTATATACGTCTCCTCATATCCTTAAATATGCAACTTACTTATTAATGGCTGTAATCATATTCTTTTATATATAATTGATTTAACTATTTCCTTATTTCTGTTTTTTTCATTAATACAAAAAACACTGCCCAAACCATTTTTATAAATGAATGTTTGGGTATTTCCCTATAGGTTAAATTCTGAGTACTAGAGATGCTGGTAAAAGTTTTCCATCCATATTGCCAAGTTCTCCTCTTTCAAAAAGACACCCTATTTCATACTCCAGGCACAGCCCGTCAGGGTGTCTGTTCCCTTGTAAACTCACCAATCCTGGGAATTTTTTGGTATGTTGTTAAACTTCTTTTCTTGAATTGCCTTTTATGGGTTCATGATGGATGTATAGGGACTCAGAGAGGACGGAGAAGATTATGGGAAAATGTACCCATGTAGATACAGCTCTTTTTCTTCCCATTGTTGTAAATACATCATTTTGGTGAGAATGCCTTCAGGGACCGTGTCCCTCCCGTAGAGGTACCTTGTTTCCAGTAGCCCCCACTAACTGTCTGTTCTTCCTTGTTGTAGTGAGCCAGCTCTCAGCTGTGCCGGGGATTAGCAGCATACATGAAGTGCACATCTGGGAACTTATAAGTGGAAAGATCATTGCCACACTGCACATCAAGTATCAGAAGGACAGGGGCTATCAGGACACCAGTAGGAAAATTCGAGAGATCTTCCACAGTGCGGGAATCCACAATGTGACCATCCAGTTTGAGCAGGTGGACTTGAAGGACCCCGTGGAACAAAAGGACCTGCTGTTGCTCTGCAGCTCCCCCTGCATCTCTAAGGGCTGTGAGAAGAAGCTGTGCTGCCCTCCCGGGGCCCTACCCCTGGCGCACGTCAACGGCTGTGCGGAACACAATGGCTGTACCCCTCTAGACACAACCCCGAGTGATAGCTTTGCTAGGCAAGAAACAGAAGTGGTTATTGAAGTATCTTCAGACAACTGTCTGAGTGACCATGGACAAGCTCTTAGCAAAACTCAGGAGGACCAACATTATGTCAACAGCACACATTTTTAATCTGGTCCCCACATAAACAGACAGAATAGACGACGCATTCTGGCTGGTGGAAAGACCTGGGTGGGCTGTATCAAATTTGCGGTGTGCTTGCTCTGTGTTCAAAAGGGGCTGGTTGTTTGGGATGTTAATTGCATGTATCTGTTAATTTCTCTGTGACTGAGAACTTTACGTTGTCCCCAGTGTCTCAGGCTGCTCTTCAACAAACTCACTGTTTTAGTTTGAACATTTATTTTAAGAAGCAAACTGTGCTCGTATCTGTGTCAGGGATGTTGAAGGCTGGGACTCCATGGCTGTGGACACGGGATTCAAAGCAGTTCCTGTTTTAAAGTGATAAGAACTTGTAGCGGACTCTTAGGTGAGCTCATAGCCAAGTACATCGAAAAAGCTTAAAAATCGTGATAGCTATTTTTTTTTTCATTCCACTAGACGATCACAAAAAAAGGAAAGTTGGATAGTCCTGTCACTGTGGAAATTTTTTTCTTTGACTCATTTTCGAATAAATGAAAAGTGAGCATCTATTAGAGTAGAAAATATTCTCAGAACATTAGAGGAAGTGGAGTTTATTAGGGGAAGACAGGAAGAAAATCCGTTGACTACCTCTTCATTTTGTCAGGTGGAGGGAGAACTAATGTTTACTTTCCATTGCGAAATGAATTGCAGCTGTAGGGTGCTTCAGATGTTTAATGCATAAAATACCTTTTTTTCTGCTTGGAAGTATGGGAATATTTCCACTTTCTAAGGTACAACACAATACTTGTATCTTGTCTTGTGGGATCAGTCCACTGGGACTGTTCTTATTTATTGCATAATGGCTCATTTGTCCAAATTTCCTTTGGGTCTTTTTTTTTTTTTTTTTTTTTAGGCTCACACTTATAAGTATAGCATTTACCAGGAGAACATGGGTATTCCTGAGGTAGAAGAATATATGACACTGAGTAGTCATTCCTGCCCCCACAAAAATAAATAAATAAATAAGCTAGAGTGACTTTTCTTTCACTAGGCATATTTTGAAGTATTTATTACAGTTGCCAACTAGCAACTTGATGGAAAAGCGTATGTGTAGGGAAACATGAGAATTAATTTAACTGCTGCCTTTAAATGTGTCTTGGGGAACTTACAGTTTCCCTTATTTCCTTTTCTGACTCTGACCCCTATTACCAATTTCAAATAAATTTATTAGACTCTAATTTGGATCTACAATCGACTTACATTAGCATTGGAGAAGCATTTGTCCCGTACTGAACACATTGTTGAGGCAGCAGTATTTTAATCAGAAGAGTTTCAAGATAGGTCTGAGAAAGTGGAAGATACCCTCATAGAGAACTAGAGTCTTACCCGATGGGTTACAAAATTGACTGGCAATGGTCGTCTCTTAGGCTCCAGGCACTGAGTCCTGTTTCATATCTGCACAGTAGTCAACAGAAATGCTGGGTTGGTCACGGAAAAAGCGCCCGCATTTTTCAGCACTAATACCATCTTTAAAAAGTGCCTTAGTGTTCATTCTAAGGCTGAAATAAATAAGCAGCTGTGATCAGTAGGATAGGAATCTTTTCTCTTTCCTTGAAAATTTATGATCTGAGTTTAAATTGGCCATGAATTAAGTAAATGCATTTTTATCCCTAGCTGTTTATTGGATTAGTCTGTATAGCCAAAAGAAGGGTTAAAAAAAAGGACAATGTTTTTATTTTTGATACTAAAGGTACAGCATGTACTCACACACACACACACCACGCACACACATACACACACACAAAACGGGATTCTCTTTGACGCTCACCACGGTGACGAGTGGATGAAATTCTAGACAAGTGTTGGTTGAGATGTCTTGACTGGAACCAAAGAAGAAATGTGTCCTTCATTTCCAAATTTGAAGGTCTAATTTGATTTCACCTCATTCTGCTTTTATCAAAAGATTATAATTTTACAGTTTCTTTGCAGCTGGCTAAAGAAGTGCATACTGGTTTATACCCAGATAATGTTAAGGTAGAGTCACTTAATTTGAATAGAACTAAATTTACTTCAGAAAAGTAGCGTAATGGACACTTACTCACAAAGCGTGAATGTGAAATAATCCCTTTTAAGACAGTTCGAGTACATTTCAAGTGTTTGAGCAAGCTAATTCAGTGCAATATTTTTGTGTGGGGCTCGGTGCTTTCCTTCGTCTTCTCCAGCACTGTGATGCCTGCAGTCTGGTCTCTTTACTTGGGTTTTGCTCTCTCAGGGAAAGGTGGGATTTTTCTGTTCCTCTTTGAGGCAGCCTTGCTTGGTGGCAGTAGGTCTGATGAACAGTGGCTTTACCAATGCAGTTTTCCTCTGAGATTAGAAAAGCACAGTCGTTTATGTTAGCATCCCTGTGTGCTTAGGGCAGTTCCAGAGATCTTCCTCTTTTTTAAGGAGATGAAAATAATTTTTGAAAAGTCTAGGGCATCCTCTGACTATCTGGTCAGGGACAGCCATCCTGCATGCTAACCTAGAAGACTCAAGGGGTGGTTCTTGCTTCTGCCCTCTGTCCTTCTGTCTCCATAGAAAGAGTCCATCCTCCTCTATTGCAGCATTGGCTGTGGGAAGTCCTGTGTTTGCTTTTATCGTCCCAATTTCAATTTTGGCTTGGAAGAGAGAGATGAATTGTTTTCATGACCCCTGGCCATTATGAATATCCACGAGAGCTCTCAGGCTCCACTGTGGACAGCAAAAAAAAAAAAAAAAAAAAAAAAAAGTATGATCCCTCTAATGAGTGATAAAGCATCAATAAAATAGGGAGACATTGTTTGAGGAAGAATTAAAAATATTCTTTATATTGGTTACTTTTTTTTCTCTTTTTGCCACCAGCTGGTCAAACTTTAGTGGGGGATAAATCAGGAACACCAAGTTCTGTAGGAAAGCGTGCTTTCAAGATGAAAGAAATCACGGGAGTGGATTTGGGATTATAATAAAGGCAGCTGCCCTGTAAGCAAGAATTTTTGCTATGCTGTCTTAGCATTAGGGACATTTTCAACTGGATAATTCCTTGCTGTGTGGAGCAGTCCTCTGCGTTGTAAGATGTCGCGCAGCATGTCTGGCTCCTGCCCTCTCAGATCCACACCCACGAATCGTGACAACAAAAAATGTCTCAGGACATCACCCCAGTCCTCTCTGGGCAAACTGGTCTCTAGTCCTGAGCCCACCAAGTTAACCTAACGATAATTGAGAATTATTGTTGATAAAAGTCCCTCCAGAGCCCTGTAATCATTTTATTGGGATCAGTCCTGCAGAATTCACTCTTTAAAAAATATTTTTCCAGGAGAGATCAAACTGCTCGCGAAAATGACAGTCATCTCTACATAGGAACTTTGGACATTTAAAGGAAAGATATAATTGGCGGGGGCGGGGGAGGCCTTACAAATCCAATTAGGCAGATCGGTTGATGTAACAGTGAATGAAGTGAAGAAAAAACATTTGTTCTCACTGTTCTGTCATGACCTCTTCAACTCATGAAAGTCCTCAGTTTGATGAACTCCCTATAAAATGAGACCAGAAAATACCAGTATGATTGATTGTTGGGGCTAAGCTGTTTAATTCATCACTGGTTTTAAGCTTGATGAGGTTTCTTCTATTGGTTCCAGACAAGCAGCTCATCTTGGTGCCAAGGACAAGTTTAGATCCTAAAAAAAATTCTGTATTGTCTGTGGTTTGCTTAATCCTTTGCCAACACATATCACATTTTTTCCCCGGAGGGCAAGATACATTTCCTGCTTTTAAATATATCTTTACACTCTTGCAATTAAAGACTGCAAAAAAGGACTGTGTTAGGGGGGAAAAAAACCACGAGGAAACGCAACCTGATTTGGGTTTTGAATTTAGACCGAATGATGGCCCCATGCCTATTGCCTAGCTTTGCCCTTCACCTGCTAAGTTTTTACCCATTTGTACTTCTGAGTGTATTTGCACATGAGTCGCCGCAAGTAGGAATGAAAGTGTTGAATCGGGAAAGTGGCTGCTCCCGTGGAAATTGCATCAGACCTTAATCCTCACCATGATCTAAATGCCCTTATGACTTTGGAGATAAGCAAATGTGGATTGTCATGTTTGGAGCTTCTCTTTTCAGGTGTTTTATTCTGGACCTTTTCGTTTACATGGAACTTTCTTGAATATTGCTGGATGGATCAACTGTCTGTTCTTGGTACAAAGCCAGGCCAGAGACAATGAACCCGCTGTGAATTCTGGTGGGAATCATCCAGGAAGGACGATGATATTTGGAGGGAGGGCGTCCTCTTCCAGGAGGTCGACCCCTTCCAGGAGGTCCGAAGTTAATGTTACAGTATTATGGAGTTTTGTTGCTTCAAGTCTTCCTGCTGTCCTCACAGGTGATTTTGCCAAAGCGTCATTGTCACATTTGTGGGAACTATTCGAACTTGAAGATACAAAGTTCAAATAACTCATTGAGAATTCATGTGAAATCCCCCAGTAACGTATGAACATGCACACCTGTAACAGTGAAAGATCTTCAATGGTGCTGTAAGAGAAATTAAAAAAGAACCACACACATCACACCTGATTGAGATGTTCCTGGAAATCAGACAGATAACTTGAAGTAGTTGAACTCACTTTGTCATTGCTGCTTACTCTAGTCCGGTTATCACTCAGGAACCCTTCAGGTCAGTTTTACGCTAACGTGGGACTAAGTCTCCCATCTGTGTTTTGCTGCTGTCTTCTCCGTACCCCTCTGCCACTCTCCACCACCTGCAATGTCACAGGGCCCGTTTTAGCAAAAATGTTCCAGATTGGCGCAGCAGACTACTTACCGTAGCCTGGACTGACCTGGTTTCCTAGGGGGCCTCGTGCGATGCAGGGCTGCTCAGTGGGGTTTGTGCAAGAGGGGAGCTCCTGGGATGGAGGGAATGGTGGAGAATCTAGGCTTATTTTGGAGAAGTCCTATAGATTTTAAGAGGAACCGTCCGTGGTGCTTCCAATTATTTTTAATCTGATCAACCCATTGACTGATAACCGCGGGGCACTTACTGGAAAATGTGCGAGTGGTTCTTGCCTCCAGGGAGATTACAGTCTACCCTGGAAGCTAAGTAACACAGTCCAGCTTTGTGGGAGTTTAAGGAGACCGACTCATAGCCAGGGGGGCGGGGCGTGGAGGATCTTGCGCTGAATGGATTTTGGTCCTCA